GAACATTGAAGGCACTTTAGTGATATTTAAATAGAATTTTTAAAAATACTTTTTGAAATATCTAATTTAACATCTTCCAAAGAAACCAGTTTAATCCTATGTTTCTTCTAATGAAATTGATTTTCTCACAGTACATTTGTTTTGCAAAATAATGTATTGCCTTGCCCAGTATAGAATTTCTAAAGAAATATGCATATGCAAATCTTGAATTTTCTAACACTTAAAAATGGCTTACAGATCATCAAAGCCTTCACAGTCACTTGTTAACTGTATTAGTGAGAGGGGACATCCAAGCAAAAAGGAAGGAGAGTAAAGTTTGCATTGGATAGTCCTTCCAGCGGCATGCTCACTGAAGAAGCCACTAAGGTGCCAGTGCCTGGCTTCCACAAGGTTAACCTCCTACGAGTTATGCATCACTCAAGGCAAATATCATTGGATTTCATTCCCTTTGTCACAAGGTTCAAACGTCTATTGATTTTCATTTGCCTGTTCATAACTGAAATCCAGAGTAATTGTTGCTCAATTAAAGATTTCCTTCTCTTCCCTCTAGATACCATCTGTTTGAAACTACTGTCCCCAACAAAACACACACACACACACACACACACACCCATGTGCACACACCCCACTGAATCAGAGATGACACACTGAAGTTTAAATAATATCCTCTAACAACTCTGACCAATTGCTCATCTACTTTTGAGGATTTCATTAGCAGACTTGGAAGAGTGATTCAGCAGTCGACAGCAAATATTTATAAAGTTGAAAAGTATCAAATATGTATAAATAGTTCCTGTAGAAATCTGTCTTTCATAGTTTTGACTTTTAATAAATGTACCCAAGTTACTTTTCTTTTACACACATTTTAACATTATTTACATCCCCCAGTTTAAAAAACAGAGCTACTTCCATAAAATCAAAACAATAGTGAAATGTTAACTTTAACCTGCAATTAGTTATAACTTTTCTAATGTCCTTTAAAATATCTTTCTTGAAAAATATATACTTTACATCTTTATGTATAAAAGGTGTTATACAACTATTACTAATATCCTCTCATTTTCTCTATATAAATGATAATCTCAAGTTAACATAAAAAAACAACTCTGAGACCATAATTTACTGGTCATCTTATACTAAGGCATAATTACAAAAAAATTTATTATTTTTGAAAACACAATTTGGCAAATGTATTACATACCACCCAATCACCTTTTAGAATATTTAGGTGTTTAGCGATTTAATACTTTTATAAGTTGCTATGATACAAATTAAAATTGATATGAATTTGGAAAATTGGAAAATCAAGCAGTATATAAAATCTATTTTGATTTATAGATTTCAATGTTTTTTTAATATTTAACTAAATGTAAAAACATCAAATGACCAGTCATTTAAAAACAAAGTAGAATTTTAAACCTATGTTATTACATAAATTATCAAGTAATTTTTTTCTTTATTGCTTCCATTTTAATTTTAATAAATTACCTCCTAAAGGTCACAAAAATGTGATTCTCTATGACATTACCTAGAACCACATAAAAAAAATTATTAGTCTTTTTTAAAATGGGAAACTAAACATTCAACTTAAAGTCAAATCAAAAGTAACCTGACAGTTTGATATAAAAATTTTACCTTAAGATGTAGTATATCCACATATGGAACCTATATAATTAAATCCAGGCATTAATTTCCAATTCAACAAATTCTTGATAGAAGAGGCTACCATATGATTTTAACCTCTTAAAATCTTTTCTGTTGCTACAGAATTAAAAATTGATGTGGTAAAAGCCTTTGTTGTAGGGAGGGCTAGAAGTTGGGTGTTTTTTTCTTTTTGGTATTTAATTCAACTATACACAATGTAGTACATACAAGCAAAATACAATTGAGATACTGTTTTCTTTAACATTCCTATAGGAGACCAAATTCATTTGCATTGGAGAGAACACAATTACTGATTTTTAAGTCATGAAAGACAAATTCATAGCTTTTTCCTACACTACCTCATAGTATTCACACCATCTCAGTGAAAGCATGTCTAGCACCAATTAGTTACTTCCTAGAAGTGGGCAGAAATTGCATTTTTCAAAGTTTTGTTTCTTACAGAATCATTCAACTTCAGTTACAAAGCACATTCAAGTTAGCATATGTCTTAGTTCAAAACAATTTATACAGTGTCTATACACACACACACACACACATACACACACACAACTAAACACTAATCGACATCAAAAATGAAATTTCTATCAAGGAAACTTCCACAGCTTTCAACAGAACTTTAAAGCTCTTACCAGTTTGTTCCTCATTGAGAAATCTTTGTTTCATATATACTACCAAGAAATATGAATAGAGAAAAAAAGATTCAAAGATTTTTATTCAACGGAGCCTGAACCCAACTTAGAAAGAGAAATATATGGTTTGTATATGGTTTACATTACAATAATTTGCATCTAATAAGAATGAAATACATGTGGCAAAAAGAGGAAAAAGAGTTTTCTATTTCTGAGTGACCTTAGAAAATAATGGTATCTAGTCTGTCTAACATAACAGCACATATAAACTGATATACCAAAGACCCAATTGGTAAGCAAATGGCATGCCAATAATTTCATAACTTAAGATAAAAACATCTCTTCCCAAAGTATCATTGGCTTAAAAAAATCTATTCAAAATGTATACATTAAAACTGATTCTTGAGAACACAAAGAAATCAGAACAATATAAAGAGTATGAGCACTCAACTGTTGAATGATTATTTAAGTAAGCAAGCAATCAAAATGAATTGTTTTCTTCACATTTTCACTTCAGCTAACACAAAACCACATATAGAACTGACTTAACTCTGACAAATTTACTCCTAATGTGTTAATTTTCATAGAAATGCAACAAAAGAACACTAAAATAGTCACCATATAATATAAAAGCTTTGGTTTCAAATGTCACAGTACCCTGCTTTTTGAAAGCCACCACTGTGGTAGTGCCCTGTACATGAGAACACACAGCTGCTCCATCCCAGGAGTCTGAGCTCAGTACATACCACTCACTAGCTATCTCTCCCTTAGCCTGCAGTACAAGTAACTAATTTCTGCATTTTAAACTAATAAAGGGAAAAAAAAAGATTAAAACCATCCAATCAGAAATGATGTAACCCTCTACAGCAACAGCTTATGCATACATTTGGTATGTCAGACATCTTCAGTGTAGTGAATCATACACAGCACACTTTAATCTGCCTCCTAGGTATTTCCTATCGCCCACATGTTCAAAGAAATCATGCACTAATAGGGCTGTATAAGCCTTAGATTGCTCTTTATTTAATTAATACTAAAAATCTAGGATATGCTCTTAATTCTGAACTCTTATATAAACACCACAAAATTATTTAAATAACACTCCATCTACCAGCAAATTACCTCTGCCTTTTGAACAACAACAAAAAAATAGTATGTTTGTGAGAAGTTTTAAGAGATACTAATAACTTTAGATAAACTGGTTTTCACTTATATTGCAACATGAAATGAGACACCAAAGTTAAAATAGCACTGAGTTTTACAAATCATAACCTAAAAAAAAGGACTCAAAACAGCTATATTGCCAATACAATTAGGCATTTGTAGAAACATAGCCAATTAAATATTTTAGGTGATTCTTTCAAACTTTGTTCAATATATTCAAATTTTCAAGTGTTGTAAGATTAATAATTTAAACTTACAACAAATAATATATCAGAAAGCTACAACTTGGATTTCTCAAGCAAAAAAATAAGGTATACAAATTTAGAATACATCTTTTCCTAGAGAGAACTAGCTATATATTACACACAAAACTGCAAATCACAACTTTTACCTTTTTTTTAAAAAGTATTAAGTTGTTTTCTGATATGCCACAGAATCATTTGCAAACAAAAGATGTTCTTATTGCTTAGTTAAGATAAAACATATCTGTAAATGTGCACACAATTTTTAAAAATCCTTTAACAAAATATCTAAGCATTCATTAAATTTGGGTAGTTTGTTTTAAAATCTATTCAATCCTGGCAAAAATCAAGTAAATGATTACATTATTGAGTATCAGAGATTTTAAAGATAGTAAATCAAAGACTTAGAGTCTCTCCAATTCAGCTACTTAATGACTAATGGTGAAGAAATGTGTGTGAATGGGATACAAACTAAGTTACAACACATTGGAAGAAAAAAATCTAGAATAAGTAATAAAGGGTCCAAATTTCCAAATTTAAAGTCCACAATGAACTTTAAAACAAAGATGTTGTTCATTCTCTCCTCCTGGACAGACATTTCTCATGTAAGCAAATCACAGGAGAATTCCAATCTCCACAAACCTTTTTACTCCTTCATTAACAACAGTGCAGTTAAATATAACTATAGATTTCATAGTGATATTAGGTTAGCCTCAAACATATCTTAAAAGCAACAACAAAGCGCTCAGAAGCAATATTCAGCAGTCACAGTGACTCCAAAAGTCTGGCTTTTAACTGCTATCCAATCCAAACAACCCACTTCTTAATAGTACTATGCAAAATATTGACCCCTTACTAAATTATTTTATTATTCAACATTAAGTTAGCTAAAAAAGAAAACTAATTAATTGCTAAGTTTGGTTAAGCAATTTAGCTGACACAGTAAATATTTACTCTTAACATCTCACAGGAAGTCTTGACAAGCATTTGTTACCATTGTGCTGTGGGTAGGGATGGGAGGCAAGTTTTGACAAACAAGTTAAACAGTCGCTGCAAAATTTAACATAGCTCGTGCTCGATACACACACACACTACTCCCAATAAGGCACCAGATATTTTCCAAGACCAGTAAACACCTTATATAATGAAAGTAAATAATGTAACTTTCTAAACTATCTTATATCCAATAACAAAACAAATGCCTTTTTACAAAATTACAAAAGCACCTTTTAAAAAACGGAGTGCATTTTTTACTTATACGTAAGCCCAATCACAAAATAACTAAGCAAAATATATTTACCTGAGCTTTTTAGAGACTGAGTAATCAACTTCCATGATTTTCCCATGCAATTCCACTTTACCTTTAAAACAGAAATTAAAGCACTCAGAACCATCCTTGTATGAAACCGGCGGGGGTCTAGGAGGGGCACGCACAGAACTCCACGCTCGGGCTCCGCCTTCGGGCGCCCTCAAGGGGTCTCCTACCGGCTCCAGCTGGGCAAACTTGGTTCCCAGTGGGAAGAAAGATGGGCGCCCCGGCTCTGGGGACGACATGGGAAGGGTGTGAGCCAGGATCCGACCCCAGGTATAGCTGTGGGTGGCATTACCGGAAAAACAAATTTACTAAAGAGCGGCGCCAATTTGAAAGGATGAGCTCATTTGAAACTCAAGCTGCAGGGCTGGCGCGGCCCCGTTTCCCTCGGCCCCCACCTCTTCATTACGCTGCCCGGGGTCCCGAAGCCTCCGCTGCGCTCCCCTCCCAGCCTAGTCCTCCCCTTGGCCCCCAAAAGACGCGCAGAAGCCCCCTGGGGTCCACTCCTGCAAGAGGCTAGTCCCCGCGGGCTTCTGGGTGTCACCTTGGCCTCGCCGCCGCCCCGCCCCCACTCCGCGC